GGGACTGGTTGTGGCTGGCTGGCCAGCCTTCAAAATAAGGAGGCAGCTCTGCAGTGAAAATGCCAAGGGATCCCAAGTTCCTATTTAGGAAGGTGAATGCATGATGGCCCGGGAGGAACACCAGGTTTCCCAGAATCAGGATCATAGGGCCCACAGTTGTTAGAGAGTCTGGTCCTTTGTTGTAATGGGTCTTATACTCTTAAAAGGGGGTATACAGATCAGGAAGGTAAATAAAGGAGGACAATCCTGGGGTTGGATCCATGGAAAGGTGGTAAGGTAAAGGGGTGTCAGAGAGTCTTCAAATCAAATTCAGTTAATGACATGGGTAAATGGTACAGACTTGTAATATAGTTCTAAATGAAAGAGACCCAAGTATCCTGATTGTGTGCGGCAGACTAATGTGTAGTATAACAGAAGAGGCAGTGCATGACCCAAATGTATCGAAGATTTCAAAAGTACCTGGGAAGATTTCAGTCTGGAGAAGGATTGCTTGGAACACGTATAAGAAATGTTGTAGCATGTCCATTTTAAATGAAACCGTGCAGCAGAGCCAAAAGTGGCTTTTAGGGAAGCAGTCTTCAAGTTTGCATAGTGAATCTTGTAAGAGTGGTGACCAGAAAAAAAGTTTTGGGATGTTTTGCACACAAAGTACTGTTTCTATGGTTGCAAAGAAGCACATTTTTTACTTTAGAAAATCATAGCATGATGTAGACTGGAATGGAAAGGTTGTTTTTGAAAACATTAACTTTCAAATGGCTTGTGTGTCAAATACATAGTTAGGTTGAAGAAAAGTCCGTCGAGTTCAACCTATTGATTATATATTATATCATTTTTTTAATGAATGTGGAGTTTTTGTTTAATGGTCATTTTCCAGATACTATATGTATGGTTCAACAACACCCATGAATCATCATTGAATAAGAAATCTGTATAGTCCACGTAGAAAGTGATCAATGAGCTTGGTAAACATAGAATCAATAGTTAATTTATCTGTTTCCTAGCATATTGTGGGTAATTAATGGCTTAAGATGACTTAATATATTAGAGGTAGTATAAAAGTGTAACTCTTCGGGGAGCAACAGGGAACTAGAACAGCTAGAGGTTTTGTGGGCCTGGGGCAGGAAACCTGCAGACAAGTTCATGGTGGGAGATCCAAAGATTTTGGTCAGGAAGCCAAAATATCAATCAGAAACAGTGTAACTAGCACAAATACATGCAATGATTCATGTAAGTCCTTGTGACCCTACCAACATCTTCTATGAGAAGCTGTCTTTCCCCTAAAAGATGCTTCCAGGATTTGTTTAACCCCCTGTAAAGGGGAAAGCAAGAGTACTAGAATGTGGATGGGTTAACAGCATCTGAGTACAGAAAATAAAATAGGCTGAGGTACAATAACAAGTAGAACCTAAAGGCACAGGGAAGGGAGACTTAGGGCTCTTTAATGCTACCTTGTTACCATGTTAGTGTGTTGCAGTGTTGCCATTATTTTTATATGGCACCCTAACACAGTCCAGAAAGTAGTTGTATTACATCTCACTACAACACAAAATGTGCTCTGTAATGGCCCAAAATTAACCTATTTTTTAACCCTTTTCCTGCCAAGGACGTATGGCATACGGAGGAACAAAAGTGTTCCGGCTGGCCAAGGACGTATGCCGTACGGACCTAGCATTTACAGTTCTGCTAAAAGCTTATGGTCGCTTTAGCGCCCCCCGCGGCACCGCTGCCGGCCGCCGGCATCTGGAGTCTCTCACCTGGAGTCGCTGCAGGGATGGATGAGGGACTCCATGGATCCCCGCTGCTGTCCCCCGCTTGTAGGGTCTGGGGCAGCAGGGATCCGAAGTCAAATCACCGGCAGGGGGGCAGAGGAGCGAGCGGCGGCTGGTCGCAATTCAGGATGGCAGAGCGGCAAGTATACTGGAGCCATATGCCATGCACATGCAGTGCGTTGTTAGAACGCATCGCAGTGCATGATTTTTTTTCTTTAAAAAAAAACATTAATTTAACGGTGGCAGCGCATGGCAAAGCTTTGTGATGTATTGCCATGCGTTGTGATACCTTGTGTTGCAATTAAATACTGATTTTAGGGCTTTATCAATTGAATTGTGTATTTTTATCGGTTTAATATTAATTTGAGAAACATTTGTGCAATTATCGCAGGGCCTACAAATTTAGTAGCACCATCTTTTTATTCTACCGGGCCTGCGCTTTCACAAAATAAATGGTTTGGGGGGGGTCTTTTACAAACGCTAGCAACGCAGAAATTGAAAATCAAATCAATTGGAAAAATTGCCGGCATCTGGAGCCTCTCATCCCTGCCTGGAGCCGCTCCGTGCAGGGATCTGGGACTCCATGGATCCCCGCTGCTGTCTCCCGCTTGTAGGGGCTGTGGCATAAAAAAAATATCTGGGGGGGCGGAGGAGCAAGCGTCGGCTGGTGGGGAGAAGCCGCAAGTTCGGCTATTCACTTCAGGCTTGTGCGGCTGATTTCAGCCATACACCGGCTGAAATCAGCTGCACATCGGCTTGCTGCGGCAGGGTTCGGGTCGGCCGCACATGCTCAGCATGTTTGCCCCGACCCGAAGTGCAGAAGGAGTTCGACTCATCTGATCCAACATCTGGATCTGCTGAGCCGAACCTCCTGCAGGCTACTCGCTGCTGTTCGGCCTATTCTCATAGGGGCCGAACAGCATTGAGTGAATAGCCGAATGCCGCTTGGCTGTTCTGCTCGGTACCTCTGTGGTACCGAGCAGAAAAGAAAAGTAGAAAAAAAGGAGAAAATGATTGGGCAGAGCTAGCAGTGACAGCTAGCTCCGCCCAACTGTTTTCTATTGGCCAACCAGCTTGTCGGAGGCAAAGGGGTGCTGGGGCCGAAGCAGGCCGAAGGATCAGCCGAAGCTACGGCTAGATCCTTCCGCAGCTTTGTGAATAACCCCCGTAGTATTATGTGTCCCCAGTTATGAATGAACAGGCTGTGATTTACATGACTTCCTGTTCATTCATACATTTTTGAATGGGGACTACCACTCACTACAGAGGCTCCTCCCCATTCCCCCTAATTAAAAAAAGCACAACCCTTCCCTCCCCCCACACACATAACATACACGTGCACCATATTGTGGTGTACGCCATGCACATGCGCCGCAGTGCATTATTTTTATTTATTTATTTTTCTTTTTTTAAAAACATTATTTTAACTGCGGCAGCGCATGGCAAAGCTTTGTGACGCATTGCCATGCGTTGTGATACCCTGTGTTGCATTTAAACAAACGCCTGTATCATTTTATCACATCACAAACACCAACACAGCGTAAAAACAATTTTTAACATAAGTCGCTTATTTACAGTTTTGCGTACCTTAATTTTTTGACCTTTTTGCAAAAAGGCGCAATTTAAAATTTGCAAATATTTGTTATTAATTAACTCAATAAACAGTTTTATCTTTTAGATTTAGTCAGAAAATATTTTTTTGTGCACTGATACTGATTTTAGTGTGCTTTATCAATTGAATTGTGTATTTTTATCGGTTTAATATTAATTTGAGAAACATTTGCGCAATTATCGCAGGGCCTAGCAACGCAGCAATTGAAAATCAAATCAATGGGAAAAATTGCAAAAATGGCGTGGCCAGCTGAGTTGCAAAATGTTCTGGAGGGCTTGGCAGCGAAAGGATTAATGCATTGAAGTGCATTACAGCATATTTATTTTGAAAGGCCTGCCTAAGCAGCTGGCCTCATACACACTGCATTTTTCTGTGAATGGGCAGAGATTGAAAAGCACGAGAAGCAGAGAGCAGGCAAGATAAGGTAATATAGACTAGAATTCTGTGTTACTTGACAGTTCCTCTTGCCAGTCACTAGTGCTGCACCTCACAACAACATTTTTGAACAAAATTCTATTTTTGTCCTCTTCATTCTGTTTTTTTAACCTCCCTGACGGTATTCCCGAGTCTGGCTTGGGGTTAATTTTCAGTACCAAGAGCGGTTACCCCGAGCCAGACTCGGGATTGCACAGAAAAGTGTCACTTACCTTGTCCCTGCGAGCCCGCGGTGTCCTCTGCTGTACGCGGCCGGCCGATGCCGGCATCTGAGTTTTAGTTTCGTTTTCGGGCGCCACAGCGGGGGGCGGAGCCTCCAGGAAATTCAAAAGTGAAAACATGACATTTACACAGAATACACACAATACAATGTAATCTGCTATGATTATACTTATGTATCAAGTACCTGGGATGTCTACTGGACTCTTGTTTGGACAGATTTAGGTGAGTTATTCCTAAGAATTACTAAGAATTATGGGCCTACAATATAAAACAACAAATTTCCATGAAAAACAATGTACCGCTTTGGGATACTAAAATCCTGAATAATCATACCGCCAGGGAGGTTAATTTGCGTTTTTATCTTTTTGATCCTGCTTGACATATCCTAATGCACTTTCAAAGAATAACATGGAATAAAATACTTCCTACTCAAATCACACAAACAAATCACTAATTTTGACATGAAGACATATTACAAAACAAAGTGCTGTTGGGGAGAAGTGGGTTTTTGCTAGGGACATCAAAAAATTCCAACGCTTTTTGACAAATTTTCTCTTTTCAGAAATTAAATTTTAGGTACACTGAATATAGAATGAGTAGCTCTTTATTATAAGTGGATAATGATAATCTGTTTTTCTACCAACAAAATATCCTTATAAATGCCCATATTGTTAAAACTTCAAATATCTTTGTTATGGAGGCAACTATTGTGCACGTTCATCTGAAAGTGCTAGTAACTTAGCTGTGTCTGAGTTCAGTTCTGAGTTACAGATGTGGAACAAGCATGCAGGAAAAGCAAGCAGAAAAAGTCAGAACACATTATCCCTATAGTTGTTACGGGTCAGTGACTCAAAGTATTGAACACTAAGCACAGAGAGGTCAGCAAGAGTTAAAATACACATATATTGTCATTTATAAATTAAAATGATTTGGGATAATGTTATTTTGTTTATTTTTTACAGTGTTTCTATGTCCGGGCTTGCTTAAGGGAGTTTACCAGAGTGAACATTTATTTGAATCAGATCACCAGTCGGGTGCATGGTGCAAGGACCCTTTACAGGCATCTGATAAAATATACTATATGCCTTGGACTCCATATAGAACGGATACCTTAACTGAGTATTCTTCCAAAGATGACTTCATTGCTGGACGTCCAACGACGACATATAAACTTCCTCATAGGGTGGATGGCACAGGCTTTGTTGTATATGATGGGGCATTATTTTTCAATAAAGAGCGTACTAGGAATATTGTCAAGTTTGATCTTAGAACAAGAATTAAAAGTGGAGAGGCCATTATTGCAAGTGCCAATTATCATGACACCTCTCCATATAGGTGGGGTGGCAAATCAGATATTGATCTTGCAGTGGATGAAAATGGACTGTGGGTGATCTATGCAACAGAACAAAATAATGGGAAAATAGTCATTAGCCAACTGAATCCTTACACATTGAGGATTGAAGGAACCTGGGATACAGCCTATGATAAAAGATCTGCATCAAATGCCTTCATGATCTGTGGAATATTATATGTGGTCAAATCTGTTTATGAAGATGATGACAATGAAGCCACTGGAAATAAGATTGATTACATTTATTTCACTGACCAAAATACTGATTCATATGTAGATATACCATTTCCAAACTCTTATCAATACATCTCTGCTGTGGATTATAATCCTCGGGATAATTTGCTCTATGTGTGGAACAATTATCATGTTGTGAAATATTCCTTGGATTTTGGAATTTTGGACAGCAAATCAGGTACGTGTTAAAAATAATTTCTGGTATATTGCACTGAATAAGTATGACCATCTGATGTCTGCCATGATAATTTGATGTATGGTTTGTATAAAATATAAAGTGCTTACCATAATGTGCAAACAGGTTGGCACACTGAGCCTGTAATCTAAGGGATTCCCTGCTTTATTTCCAAACAGACATCAGTTACAAATCATAACATGCAGGGGTACAAGTGAATACAGATATAAAAAGGCTTTAGACTTTAACTGGGCTTTAAATAAAGCTTTCGGGGGTTTTTCTTTTAAGTAGATCTAAACCTGTCCATTAAAATCTCATACAATCTTTAACGTGTAATTTCATAAGAAATTTTAAATATTTTTAAATTTACAGCTTTCATTAAAATAATACTTGGGTATTCTGTAATAAAGATCCTTGTTTAGGCATTTGTATTGTCATGTTGTCACATGTGCTTCCAGTGGAAACTAAATGCAGGCATGTTGCTGCTGATTGCTTAGACATGTTGCACCATTATCATCATCAGAGTATCCTGAGCAATGACATGCAGGTGCATGTAGGCGGAAAGTGGCACTGAGATGCAAAAGAGAACTTTTAATGGAAACACTATATTATATCAAAAAACATGGTAGTTGTTTGTGGCAGACAGTGCTTTAGCAAACAATTGTCATCCAGTTAGTGTTTAGATTTATTGTAATGTTTGCAAATCTATTGAAACAGACCTTAAAATTGAAGCGGGGCCATTGTCTAATGCAAAGCCTTCTGGAATACCCTGTGTAGAAAACTATGTTTTAAATTCTTGAATACAGCACATGCATTGTACATGTACAGGCGTTTTGTAACCCTGATGAAGAAATACATCAGCAGCATCAATTTGTGAATAGTATAGGAGTTGGGAGGTTTTATACCTTTTCACAGTAAACTGTCAGCTTTCCAGTAGAAGTAAAGTGATCAGGTCTACATACTGTGGAGAGTTTAATAAAAGAACGAAAACATTATAAACATTCTAAAAGCCTTCTGTCCCCACATGCATGCACATAAAAGCGCAAATATGCACTTCAGGTGCACTTGCATATGAAAATGAAGATAGTGCCACATATATTAGGGGGGTTATTCACTAAGCTGCCGAAGACAGCCAAGTGAATAATGGCCCCTAAGTGACGTTTGACTATTCACTTTAGCCCTGTATGGCTAAAAACAGCCGTTCATCGGCTGCCTTCGACTCCCTTCACTTCACTTCTGTTCAGCGGAACAGTTCAGCTGAACCGAAGTGAAGAACACTTTCGCCTCAGCTGATCCAACATCTGGATTGGCCGAAGCAAGCGTTCGGCAGTTCATTCACTGCTATTCAGCCCTAATCTCATAGGGGAGAGAACAGCAGTGAGTGAATAGCCGAATGCTGCACGGCTCGGTTATTCTGTTTGCTACCTCAGAGTTGAGAGTAGAGTTCCCCCCAGAAGCCTGCCGACCTGACCCAAACTCCTGCACCTGTCAAAATGAACACTTTGACAGGTGCCGGCCCGAATGTCAAACGATAGGCCGAGCTAGTTGGTGACATCACCTCTGGCTCTGCCTATCTGTTGTCATTCGGCCGAGACCTGTCAAATTGCTATTTAAAGGTCCTGGCCGAATGACAACAAATGGGTGGAGCTAGCGGTGATGTCACCGCTAGCTAAACCCATTTGTTGTTATTCGGCGTGGGTGTTCGATTTGGGTCAGCGGGCATTTGGGGGAATCCCATTCTGTTTTTTTATTTTTTATTTGTTTACATTAGTGCTTTGGCTGTATGTTCAGCTCAGCAGAGCCGAAGCATATATGCGTTCGGCTCTGCTGAGCTCTTCGGCTGCATTCAGCTGCTGTACGGGCTATTGTGAATAGCCCGTACAGCAAACCTCTGGTTCGGCTCAGCCGAAGGCTTCCAGCAGCTTAAGTGAGCCAAAGGATTAGCCAAAGGTTCGGCTTAATCCTTCAGCTCGTTAGTGAATAACCCCCCTAGGTATTGCCACATATGCCTAGGTTTAAAGAGTTTCAAAGCTTTGCCTATGAACAGATTTGGGTACTGTAATTTGTTGCCATTTCACAGTAGCATGCAATTGAGGTTAGACATGTTTTATATTTTGCAAAAAAAAATGGGTATTATACTTTTTGCACTAAAATTAGATTGAGTGTATTAATTCAAAATATGGATTTGATAAACAGTTGCCCCTAATATTGTGTACAAAATAATGAAAAAAACCCCCTCAAAATGTGCGAAAATTAACTTACCCACTCCACTCCGCCAGCCACTGACCAGACTGCAGCCCCGCAGTTAGTATTAGGCACACTGCCCGCAAATGGCGAGCCCTGTTTGTTCAGTACAGTGGCATCACTACACTGACCAATGAGAAGCGCTTCCTCCAGAGCCTCGGGGGAGATTGTGGATGAGCTTCAGTTTTTCTTTTCTTGAGGAATGGTGCCCAACTTATGATGTTGTACACAGTACACTGCATTCAGAAAATGCCTGTGCTCCATCATACCTCCAGATTATTCTACTGCACATACTGCACATTCTCATGCCCTCCACACACCTTTACTGTACATACTACCCACTCTCGTACCCTCCCTACTCGTCCTCTGCATATATTTCCCCCTGTAATACCCTTCACACTCTTTTCCTGCACATAATTAGGCCCGTAATGCCCTCTGCACTTCTCTCCTGCACATACCACCTACTGCCATCAACTGCATACTCTCCTTCTGTATATATTGCCCCCCTAGCACACCATCTGCACTCCTCTCCTGCATTGACTATCTGCTGCCATTCACTGCGTACTCTCCTCCTACAAATATTGCCCCCTAGCACACCTCTGCATTCCTCTCCTGCACATATTGCCGCCCATCATACAATCTGCCATCCTTTTCTGCATATACAGCGTGCTGTCATAACGTCTGTGCTACTCTCCTGCACATGCTGCCCGCTTACATACTACTTGCTCTTCTGTCCTGCATATACTGCTTGCTAAGACACTTTTTAGATTTGTTTTATGCGTCTCATTAAAAAGATGGAACACCATTTTAAAAATTGGTCCAATAATACCATTCATTCGTGAAGGGATCATTATGAAATATACAAGAATGCTAATAACCTATCACCAAATATACAAAATACATGAAAAAAATTATCTATTGGAAACATACAGAAGAAGATAATGTACAGATATGTGCCAAGGCAAAATCTGTTCTTACCAAAAGACAGTCAATCCTCTTTTATTCATCCATTTGCATGCAACATATTCAATTTATTTATACAGAAAAATTAATGTTTTAGTATAAGATGTGACAAATCATGCATTTTGGGAGAATACTTCAGTTTTCATATATCTCAACTGAGATTGTGGTCAGCTGCATAAAAATGACAAGCCATTAGAGATGTAAAATCTGAAGTATAGCCAGTTAGTGCCTCTACCGTTCATTTTATCATAACTTCCACATGCACCAATGCATCATTAAGGCTGTGGGGAAAGGGCTTTGCAAGCTGAGGATCACTGCTCAGTACATTCCATTGTTTGTTAACAATCCAAAGTATTTGGTGAGTTTGAAAGGAAAATGTTAAAATAGCTGGAATTCTTGCAGACACTTGTTTTGTCTGAAATTAGTGAGTGGCCACCAAATAATTTTGCCAAAAAAAACCAACAACCACTTACGACCCTCTCCAGCACCTACCGCCTAGGTTTGTGAGTGGGCTCGCCTTGTCCATTTTTGGGTATAATTGCTTAAGGCTGTTTGTTGCAACATTGTCTGTTAAAAGACAATCAGAGAACAGTCCGGCTGCAATGGGTAATCCTACTGTTTTGATGAGCAATTCACCGGTATCCTCAGAGGGAACTGATGCCTGTATTTTAGATCCTGGAACCCCTATTTCCAGAGCATGGTCCTCATAAGAAGCTTCTATAGCTCCACTGTGTATGCCTGAGACCTGTGTGTGTGTGTGTAGAAGGCCTCCTATATTCACTTCTGATCTTGTGTCAGTTTGTGTGAGATTAATAGAACAATTTGCTTGCAGGCATTCAATTTGTCCCTCAGCACTATTTATGGCAGAACCTAAATCTGATCTGGCCCTATCTCTCACAGTGTCTGAGGCCGCTATCATTATTTCTGATTCAGATTTAGAACCTTCACAACCTAATCCTATAGAGACTGTATTTGAACAAGTTACTGATAATTCTGTTGTTTCCATTCCAATTGATTCAGTACACTCTACTATGCATCTTCTAGAGGATGAGCCTGCTGGAGACCTTAAAATATAGAAATTAGATAATATCACAGATACTGTATGTTCTTAGGCCTGGGCATTAAAGGAACTAACGCCTAACTACTGACAAACTTCTGACAGGACCTTTAGGCTTATTGCTATAGATAAAGTTAGTCAAAGTTTCACCTTAGTAGCCCTCAAAAGAATCTGACAGACTTTGCTACTGCAAAAACAGCAGGGAGGAAGAAGTCTTTACACACTGAGGCTACAGACGGTCTGCAATTGAGGTAATATGTTTCATCTCTAAAAACCTTAGTCACATGGAGATAAAATGTATTCCTAGATAGTATGCAACATCTGCTGCATGCAGATGCCAAACATTATTTTCTGGTTGTATGTTACCACCTAGGTAACCAACAACATTATTATATGACCCTGCTTGCATTAGTCATGCGGTATTTGATCCTGCTGTGGTTGGGATGATATGTTGTTGTCAGAAATCCTAACTGTGACTCAGCCATTAGAACCAGCTGGTCCATATAGCCTATGGCCATTTCAGGAGGCAAAAACTTTCATCACACCACGTGAGGTAACACCTCCAAAAGTAATTGGTCAAGGGAAGTCTGTCAAACACCCATCTCCTGCCAACAAAATTAAACAAAATTAAACAATACTGCCCAAAAACTTTTTTTTACATAGCAAATAGTCACATTTCTTTTTATCATTTACTTGTCTCTTTTGTATTTTTTACTTTTGTACACATTTCTATTCACTG